GGACGCAGCGCGACGTTCTCCCGTGATTCACGCGCTGGCAAAGCGGCGGGCCACCAGGGAGGGGTGCCGGGCCCTGTTATCATTCAGAGCACGTAGCCAGGAGAAGGGCTGGGGGAAAGAAACCCACAGGGCGGCCAGAGTTTTCTGCTTTGCGGTGCATGTGGAGAAACGCTCCTTCAGGGTTTTTTTTCTTTTCTCTCCCCTCCCTCCCCCATCTCTTTTCTGCAGCTGAAGAACATTAAACACATGAAATGCATTAGCTAGGATTTTTCCTTTCCCCTGCCCCCCTTTCTAAGCTCAGGACCTCCAGGAGGAAGAGGCCTATGAATTGACCCTGCCCAGTGCTTTAACTGACAGGTCATTAAAGATGAATGTGTGGCTAGAGAAAAATATTCAGATTGCAGGCTAGTTGTTGTCCGTGTGGGATTTTAATGATTTATGTTTCTTTCTCCTCCCCTCCTTCCCACCCCCCAACTCCAAACAATCCAGGCACCATGGGAGGTCTGTTTTTGGATGGCGAGGAAAGCCCTGCGCTGGAAGACATCAGCAAATGGACAGTGGAGGATGTGTGTAGCTTTGTGTCCAACTTGTCTGGCTGCACCGAGTACACTCAGGTAAATCTCTGACAGCCTCAAGAACATCATGGGGAAAGGTGGGAGGACTCTCCTAACTGCCAGCACCTCTTCTTTCCCTCCTACCTGTGCCCATCCTAGTTGCGCTGTCCGTGCTAGCAGAAGGTATTTCTCAGGGCCCTGCGGGACCTGCTTTCTTGTTTTTCTAGTGGATCGTCTAGTGGAGTCCCCAGAAGGTGTGGTGGGCCTTGCAGACAGGTAGCAGCAACAGGAGAGCAGGGTGGGAAAGGCTGGGAGTTTGGGCAGGGCTGGAGTCCTGAGTTGCAAGGTTGATCATGGTTAGTGGTTCTCTGTCACTTACCTCTCACCTTCCAGCTCGTGTTTTTGGAAGTCAGCCTGTGCCCCACCATGGAGCTGAACTCAATGGTGGCTTTGTGTGAGCTGCTGTACCGAGGGATGTGCTGTCAAGTGGTGCCCTGGAGCCGGGTGGGTGGGTGGCTGGCAGCCCCAGCCAGCCTGGCAGAAGGTGCTGTGCTCTCTTGTCGTGCCTCGAGCGTTGTGGGGGGGCAGAGGAGGGGTTTGAGAGAGCCTGGCTTCACAAGCATCCAAGTAAACTGCATGCTTATACTTTAGAGTGACGATGACTGTGATTTTTAAGCTCTTTATAGCAGAACTGAGGCATCCATCAGTACCGGAGGGTTCATAAAGCCGGCTCAGTGTGAGGTCATGAGGTTCAATACAAAAAACAGCCCTGTGTTTTTGGCTCCTGCATCTGCTGGAGTCCGTTACAAATGCCCTATTGAGAGACTGCCCCAACTGCAAAGGCGCAGATCCCCGAGCTGTCTGGGACAGCCATGTAAAGAGGGTACAGTGTGCTGAGAAGGGAGGGAGAGAAAGTAGCAGAGATAGAGGGGCAAAGGGCCAAAGCTGAGGACAATCCGGCCTTTCAGTAGAGATGCATCCTAGGCTGATGAACGGTCCTTTAAAGGGAAGGAGAGCAGGAGTTGAGCTTTGCAGACATGCCACTTCAAGAGAGGAGCTTCCCTGACTGATAGCTAAGGAGTGCAGAGCTGTCTGTCGGCATCTGGGCTGGCTGAAAGCTGATTTCCACAGCCCTCCCTCCTCCCCCTCTTTGGCCCTAGCTGTGTCTCCCTGTTTTAAGTGGTAGGCACAGTTCCGCTTTGGTTCAAAGCGTTAGGCAAGCATCCTCTCCCCAAACTGATGCCCCCCCCCCCCCCACCCCCCCCCCCCAAACCAGGGCCCCGTTGAGAAGGGTAAAGCTCAGCATCCCAGCTTCTCCTGGGACCGGCTGTTGTGAAAGCAGTGTGAGTGTCTGGCGCTAGAAGGTGGCTCCCTTTAGGTTATGCTGATTGTGGTAGGGTGCCATGGGGGAAAGGTGCATGTTTTTACCGTTAAAAGAACTAAAATATCCCAGAGGGGCAGGGGAAGCTGGGAGCTAGATTTTGCTTTTCATTATGGAAACTGGGAATTGCCCCGCGCCTCCCCCTTCTCCCTCAGGTGGTAGGATGATATGCTTTCAATCCAAAGTCTGTCCTTCCTTGCCCCCTAACTGTGATGCTAATCCCATCGTGACAAGCTTCATTGAAGCCACCTGTAGAACTGGTGCTTCTCTGGAAGCCTGCATGCGAGAGCGGCCGCTCTGAAGACAGCGAGCGTGTGCGACAAAGACGGGGTATGTCTAATGGTCCCCAGGAGGAATGGCAGAGGCTGCAGTTGCGTTTGGGAGAACAGAACGGCTTGGACCAGGGTGACTGGGTGTGTGTAGGTGTGTGAAAGAGAGAAGGGTGACTTTCTGGTTACGGAGAGAGGGAGAGGACGGTAGCGCTTAGAAAAGGATGATGGATGGATGGGTGTTTGCAAGAAGGAGAAGCAGGAGCTCTGCGCACGTGGCGAGAGAGAAGGGCTCAGGAGCTGTTAGCGCGGCTGATAAGGGGACGGGCGCAGGAGCGTGCGGGTGTGGGCTGCAGTATGCGCTGATGATTATTTATTGGGTAGGAATAAGAGCTCGAGCAAAAGGCTCCAAAACCAAAAATGTACAGCTGCCCACATTCTGCTCCGTTACCCCCACACCAAACGGCAGGCTGTCGCACCGGTGACGCTGCAGTTTGTCTGCATTCCCACGTTGAGGAATGAAGTTCAGGAAGTCGCCTGGAAGCTTATGAACGTTGGGACTGGTAGGAAGTGTGGCAAAATCTTTAACGCAAAACACCTTGCAGAAGGATCATCCGTTTACACCTTCCGTGCCAGCCCTGGTGTACGGGGTGGGGAAGAAATCAATAGCTTGCTGAGACAAAGGCTCAGCAGTCTTCTCGGTGCCTCGCAAACAAAATGTTTTACGATAATGGGAGCTGCTGTAAACAACCTCCTGTTGTGGCCTTGCATTAGGTAGGGGGTGCATGGCTTAAGGGATGATGCATTTTTATGCACCACGGTTATATGCTTAAGTTTTTTTCACATAGTGAAAAAAAAAAAAAAAAGCACTATGCAAGGGAGACCCAGCTCTGTGGCTCTGAACTGCAGAGCTGTCTGTGTTCTCGTCTCCAAAACCACAGCTGCCGGGGAGGTCTGGCACTGGCCCGCAGGATTCTCCTGCCAGGAAAACCCAGCAAGAGCTTGGTGGTATGCTGTGCATTTAGAAACATGTTTCAGACAAAAAAAAACAAAAAAAAACCCCTTTAATGAAAACAAAGTTGCTATTCCTGCTTTCAGCCCCTGACAATATTCAGCTTTGTCCCTGAAGTGGGTCAAGACCTGTGGGACACCCAAGGGGGATGCTTTTGCTCTCAAGGCTTTCTGTGGAGGGTTTTAGTGCCGAGTGAAAGGAGGCTTTTGGCTCCCTGCCATATTGGCTTCATAGGAAGGAAAAGAAATCAGTATATTAAGTTTCGCTAGGTCAAAGAGCAGAAACACACGCTGCAGTCACGAGCAGCTTTGCTGGTGGAGTCCAGCAATAAAAAACGCTTGCAACAGCTCAGCTGCCTTAGCTCTAGCAGCCATTGCCGCTCTCCAAAGGGATGGCTCTGGGCTAAGGTCGCTGTTGAAGAAGGCGGCATTACAGTAAATCGGAAACTCCCCTCGCCTTACTGTTTAGTAAAAGCAGCGCTACGAGAAAGCTGCTGCGTGGAGAGGCAGAGCAGGATCAGGCTCCACAGACGGTTCAGCTGGGCAAGCATCCAGCGCGAGCCATGGTGTGGAAAAAACCCCTGTGGAGTGGAGGTGTGGTTTAGAAAGGAAAATCAGGCACGTGACCGACATCTCCAAGGTCCCATAACCAAAGGGGACCTGCTAGATGAATTGCTGAATGAGGGCAGTTTGCTCTTGGAGTAACTGAGCCTGTATTTCCCAAAGAAACACCTGGGGGGGACTGGTATAAGCATGGCCCTGCTCGATGGAGCAGTAAGACCACGTATCCAGACCTTAACCTTTATAACACGGCACGTATTAGGTGGAAAACTCCTGCATGCCCCTGCCATGGGAGGTAGATGGAGGCAAAGTGTTTGGGTTTGGAGTTTTTTTCCCCCTTAGGCATGTGTTCAAATGGTTTAGTTTTGCATGGCTGGATGTATCAGAATATGTCTTCGTAGGCAATTGCCATTGTATAGAGTGTACCAGCCCTGCTGTCATTTCTGTGGTGTTTGTGTGCAGAGCGCGTGATTCTGCTTCAGCCAACTAACGGGGAAAGGGACAAGATAGCTGCTGGGTTGTTACTGGAAACTGGCCCCAGAGCTAGTGCAGTTGACTCAGTAGGATCATGCTGTGTTCAATGGTAGCTCCTGGCTAGCTCAGCCAACGTAGCGGAACGGCGCAACTTAGTCCACGCTGCTAGATGCGTTGGGAAAGAGAGCCTAGTGCTAAAGCAGGCTGGTGAGGGCTGGTCGCTGCTGGTCCCAGTTGGTGTTCTGGACATCAGGTGTCACTGGCAACCAGCATGACGCGTTGTCCTCTCCAGGCTGCGTACGTGTTCTAGGAATGGTTGCAACGTGCAGCAGGCAAAGGATCAAAAAGTCAGCTTTGCACATGAATCCATCAGCCTGCAGAATGTGATCCACAGATCTGTTTGTGTGTTTTGCCTGGAAACTCTTTCAACTGCGTTTGCTTCACTGAAGGCTACTGGGTCAACTTTTCCCAAATAGCTACGCGATATGAGGGGGCTAGGATTTATCAAAATGTAGATTCTTATCGTTTCGTCTGTCTTCTGCCCCGTTTTGGAGTTGGGGTAGGGCCCTGGGCACCTCACTCTTCTTTCTCAAACCCACTGTCATGCTCTGGCAGCTGAATTTATCTGTGATGTACTTAGGTCAGCTTGTGTAGGTTGCTGAGCTTGGCAGCGTTCCCCACAGAAACTTCATTCCCCACCTCAACATTTGGGGGGAAAAAAAAAAAAAAGCTATTGCTGTAGCTGTCCCCAACCAACAAGCCCTAATTCACGGTCTCACGTGTCTCCTTTTGTGTGTTGGCTCCTAACTGTGCCTACGGGATGGCACACCCCTCTACCGTGTGAATATAATTGGGCCGCCGTCGCTGAGGCACTTAGGGCACCGTGGTTAGTTGCCTTTTCTAATGTATCTCGGTAGCGTTTCTAAGCGTGGCCCTGTGTTCTGGTTTCTTGCAGGTATTCCGAGAGCAGGCTATTGATGGTGAGACCCTGCCCCTCCTGACAGAAGAGCACTTACTGAACAATATGGGGCTGAAACTGGGACCAGCACTGAAGATAAGGTCACAGGTAGGACAATTTTTCTGTGTAGTAGCAACTGGCATGCTTTAAAGCTGTCCCTAGCTGGAATAGAACTGGTTTATTGTCTATAATTTCCCAAGCAATAACTATGTTTTATTTCATTTTTTTAAATTCTGGTTTCAAGAATGCTTGGCCATATTTCTGGTCTCCAAAATGGTCCATATCCTCAGCTGAAGCCAGTCGCATAACTCTTTCCGAGGGGAAAACAAGGACGTGGTTCTCTGTCTGGGGTGCAGGAGCAGACAGTTCAGGGCAAGAGGCAGAGGGGATAATAACAACAGGGATGCAGTGGGAACCTCCTAAAATGTACCACCTTCTCCTAGAATAGAAACTTTAGGCATTTCCCATGAATACAGGCCAGAAAGGAAGAACAACTGAGAAAGAAGGTATACAAAGCAAGGCTCTCAAATCAGCTGAAAACAGTCGTCCCAGAGTACTTAAAGAGCTGGATAAAGCCATCTCAGGAACCAGGTGTCCTTTTTCTAGACTGGATTTATGTCCTTTTGCTGCTCATTTTCCTTGTACTAGGTGGGTCTTGGCAGATCTCCTTTTGAGCTAGGCATAAAGCACAAATAGCTTTTAACACTTCTGAGCACCATCTGTTGATTACTTTCCCTCCACAGTGAGTGATGGACCAGCTCTTCCCTTTCTCCACTGTGCTACTAGTGCACTTCTGTGACATTTTTGTCTCTTGATTATCAGTCTTGCTGATGCCCCTCCCGCCCTCCCCCCCAAAAATGCTTGTGTTAGCCATTTGTGTTTGCATTTGTATTTTGATACAATTTCTACTTCCAGCATAGTTACCTCTGATGATTTAGCCAAGTTTGCTCTTTTAGAAGAGTGTTTCCCCTCAACAGACTAGTTTGTGCTGGTGCCCGTAGTAACGTTTCTGTAAAGAAATGCCAATCCTCTTCAAAGCATCCCCCCCCCC